CATATAACCTGAGAAAACCATAATTCAAAAAGACACATGCACCCCAATGTTCACTGCAGCACTGGTTACGTAGCCAGGTCATGGAAGCAACCTAAATGCCCATTGACAGATGAATGGTTAAAGATGTGGTACATGTATAGAATGGAATATTTCTCAGCCATAAAATGGAACGAAATTGGGTCATTTTTAGAGACGTGGATGGACCTAGAGACTGTCATACAGAGTGAAGTAAGTCAGAAAAAGAAAAACAAATATTGTATATTAACACATATATGTGGAATCTAGAAAAATGGTACAGATGAACCTGTTTGCAAGGCAGAAATAGAGACACAGATGTAGAGAACAAACATATGGACACCAAGGGGGGAAAGTGGGGGGTGGGGGTGGGGGAGGGATGAATTGGGAGATTGGGATTGACATGTATACACCGATGTGGATAAAATGGATGACTAATAAGAACCTGCTGTATAAAAAAAATTAATTTAATTAAATTTTTTAAAAAAGGTTTGAATCCCAAGTGAGAGTTGCCACAATGTGCATCTAAATCTGCCTATTCAGATGATGACAGTTGGAGACTAACTTGCCTCTTTTTCTATCCCCTTGAACAGTCAGTGGGAGAATTTACTATCATGTATATTACCAGCTACATCCAGCTGATCAAAGATATGAAGAGAGTTGGCTATTATACCTTCATATCAAAGGTGAGAGATTGAAAGAGAGGCAAAAATTGGTGCCATCTTTGGTTTTTTTTGGTCCACTGCATCCTTAATAAATTGCCCCTTTTAAAGGAATGTGGTATTGTGTGTTCACCTCTATTGGTGCAACATAGGTAGGTTAAGGAAGTAGGAATAGACTTCAGGCAGGGCTGAAGCTTGGGCCTTTTAGGGGATTACACACCAGGAAAACTGACCTGGAAAACCTAATTTCAGTTTTTTCATTCTCCAGAAAAGTGCTGGGGTTGTTAATTGTTGCTTTCCCTGGGACCACAGGCTTGTCGAGGATCTTCTGGATGGCTGGGGATTAGGAGGGCAAGACAGTACACATTACTTCATGAGAATCACAAAGGGAGTCTTGGAGGACTCCACATCCAAAGGGATCCTCAGCCCATTAAGTGGAACCATCTTCAGTGGGGTATTTTGTGAGACATAAGGGCCAGGGAGACTTGTCCCTCTGACAGGGAGAAGGCTGTTGTGTTCCCACTGCATGTAATAGCAGCTGACTCTGTGTTCTCACTAGAGGTGTCTGTTGTTTGTTGGTGCCTTTCAATCAACTGTGCAATTCTTTTCTTCCTGGAACTCACCTAGGTGGCACCCAGAGCCTCGTTCAGTTATTTAGCAGATATTTATGGATTCCCTTCCATGGACGGGCACTGCATGGCCTTATCTGGACAGTATCACAGACATGCATGCAGTAGTGGCTATAGAGGGAGGGGTTGAGAACACAGACAGAATTGGGTTGGAATCCCAATTCTGTTACCTACTAGCTAGTTGACTACTGTGAGTTTTTGCACCTATAGAAAGAAGATAATCCTTCACTGGATTGTCGAAGGAACTAAATGAAATAATGAACACAAGGGACCGAGCAGCAGTGTCTGGCATATCATAAGAGTTCAATAACGTGTAGATATTATTTTATTGTAATTGTTATAATTATTACTAAACACCCCCTCTGAGCTCTTGTCCAATATTTCCAACCACTTAGAGTTCTCTCTCCCTAGATAGCCTCTGTAAGTACTTCAAACTCACTATTTCCAAAATGGAACCCATTAGCATTCTCAGGAAATTCATTCCTTTTTTTCTTATCTTAGTATCTCCATCTGCTATTATCTTTATGGACAAATAAATTATCTGGAGGCCACTTTGACTCCTGTTTCTTCTTTACTCCAAAATTAAATATCATCTATTCTGTCCTTTTTAACTCATAAATGCCTCCCCCTCTCTCCATTCCAACTTGCATTGCCCTGCTTTACACTTTCATTCTCTCTTTCCTGCATTGCCCCTAGGTACAGCTTCTGTAAGTATTTCTAAATAATGCCGATTTTAACTACTTTGTCCCGCTCTAGCCACACAGAGCCAGAATTTTCAAGGCAGGGAGCCTTCCCCATGTCGCCTCGACCTCGGATCACTTCCCCAGCCGGTGCCCCCTCCTGTCTTTCCTCCAATTGCCATCAATTCTTTCCTCATCCTACAAAAGTCACTTCCTCTGTGAAGACTTGCAAAACTTTTCTTCCAAGGATATTTAGCCACTTTTGCCTCTGGCCTCATATGGTAAAATACTCTACCACAGGGTCATTACAGAACAAGTCCTTCGGTGTCTGACTCTCCCGTGAGACTTTGAGTGTCTCTCCTACTAGACTGGGAGCTCTGCAGGGGCAGGTCTTTGCTCACTTCTTCATATTGACAACATGTAGTTGATCTCTGGTAAACGTTTGATGTATGAAAGGATGGATGAATGAAAAGTTTAATCAAGCTGGAGGCAGGGTGCTCTGGGCTCATTTGGGAGGGAAATGAAGGACACTCATTGGTGTTCTGTAGTTGGGAGGAAAGTAGCATCTCAAACAGTAACAGATTTTACAAATCAAAGCATAGCCTTCTTCTTTCTCCTATGAGAAGCACACTGAGAATTAAATCATCACTAAATGAAGCACAATCATTATTAAATCTTCAAGGAGCCAAAGGCCTGTGGAGTCCAAGCATAACAGAAAGGCCTTAGGGAACACTATGTGCAGGTCTTAGGAAGACATACAAGAGGAAGCGAGGGCCAGTGCTCTGGGTCATTTGCATAAGGCTTTGGGCAACTACTTGGTCACTTGAGGACAACTGATTGTAGGTAGAAAGGTATGAGTGGACATTCTTCCATTAATGGTAAGAATTAAGGGATATATCATTCTGAACCAAGAGAAGTGCTTTCTCTCCAAGCTAGTTCTATTACATAAGGGGTATATTACTTTGCTAAGGCGGCCATTAACAAAGTATCAGCAGAAATTTATCGCTTCGTAGTTCTAAAGGCTAGGCATCTGAAATCAGTTCATTCTGAGGCTGTAAGGGAGAACCTGGTCCATGCCTCTCTGCTAGCTTCTCGAGTTTGCTGGCCATCTTTGTTGTTCATGGGCTTCTGCTGCCTTACCCTGATTTCCTCCTTCACCTTCACATGGCACTCTCCCTGTGTATGTGTCCAAATTTCCCCGTTTCATAAGGGAACCATCATATTGGATTAGGGACCCATCCTACTGTAGTATGACCTCTTCCTAACTTAACTAATTACAATTGCACTGACCTTATTTCCAAATAGGGTCACATTCTAAAGTACTGGGGAGTAGGGCTTCAACATACAAAATTTTGAAGGAACACAATTCAACCTATAACAAGAGATTAGATGGTGCTCATCCCAGGAAAGGCTGTTCTCCCAGCATCTTGGGATGGCATACAAGAAACCCACAGGGAAGAGAGCTGTGGTTCTGATGTCTCAGGAAGAGAAGGGCTAGGAGATCCCTAGCAAACACTATCAACTAACCACCCAATCCTTGTGACCTGGGAAAGGGACAGACTATAAAAGGAGGATGAACCTGTTTGCAAGGCAGAAATAGAGACACAGATGTAGAGAACAAACATATGGACACCAAGGGGGGAAAGTGGGGGGTGGGGGTGGGGGAGGGATGAATTGGGAGATTGGGATTGACATGTATACACCGATGTGGATAAAATGGATGACTAATAAGAACCTGCTGTATAAAAAAAATTAATTTAATTAAATTTTTTAAAAAAGGTTTGAATCCCAAGTGAGAGTTGCCACAATGTGCATCTAAATCTGCCTATTCAGATGATGACAGTTGGAGACTAACTTGCCTCTTTTTCTATCCCCTTGAACAGTCAGTGGGAGAATTTACTATCATGTATATTACCAGCTACATCCAGCTGATCAAAGATATGAAGAGAGTTGGCTATTATACCTTCATATCAAAGGTGAGAGATTGAAAGAGAGGCAAAAATTGGTGCCATCTTTGGTTTTTTTTGGTCCACTGCATCCTTAATAAATTGCCCCTTTTAAAGGAATGTGGTATTGTGTGTTCACCTCTATTGGTGCAACATAGGTAGGTTAAGGAAGTAGGAATAGACTTCAGGCAGGGCTGAAGCTTGGGCCTTTTAGGGGATTACACACCAGGAAAACTGACCTGGAAAACCTAATTTCAGTTTTTTCATTCTCCAGAAAAGTGCTGGGGTTGTTAATTGTTGCTTTCCCTGGGACCACAGGCTTGTCGAGGATCTTCTGGATGGCTGGGGATTAGGAGGGCAAGACAGTACACATTACTTCATGAGAATCACAAAGGGAGTCTTGGAGGACTCCACATCCAAAGGGATCCTCAGCCCATTAAGTGGAACCATCTTCAGTGGGGTATTTTGTGAGACATAAGGGCCAGGGAGACTTGTCCCTCTGACAGGGAGAAGGCTGTTGTGTTCCCACTGCATGTAATAGCAGCTGACTCTGTGTTCTCACTAGAGGTGTCTGTTGTTTGTTGGTGCCTTTCAATCAACTGTGCAATTCTTTTCTTCCTGGAACTCACCTAGGTGGCACCCAGAGCCTCGTTCAGTTATTTAGCAGATATTTATGGATTCCCTTCCATGGACGGGCACTGCATGGCCTTATCTGGACAGTATCACAGACATGCATGCAGTAGTGGCTATAGAGGGAGGGGTTGAGAACACAGACAGAATTGGGTTGGAATCCCAATTCTGTTACCTACTAGCTAGTTGACTACTGTGAGTTTTTGCACCTATAGAAAGAAGATAATCCTTCACTGGATTGTCGAAGGAACTAAATGAAATAATGAACACAAGGGACCGAGCAGCAGTGTCTGGCATATCATAAGAGTTCAATAACGTGTAGATATTATTTTATTGTAATTGTTATAATTATTACTAAACACCCCCTCTGAGCTCTTGTCCAATATTTCCAACCACTTAGAGTTCTCTCTCCCTAGATAGCCTCTGTAAGTACTTCAAACTCACTATTTCCAAAATGGAACCCATTAGCATTCTCAGGAAATTCATTCCTTTTTTTCTTATCTTAGTATCTCCATCTGCTATTATCTTTATGGACAAATAAATTATCTGGAGGCCACTTTGACTCCTGTTTCTTCTTTACTCCAAAATTAAATATCATCTATTCTGTCCTTTTTAACTCATAAATGCCTCCCCCTCTCTCCATTCCAACTTGCATTGCCCTGCTTTACACTTTCATTCTCTCTTTCCTGCATTGCCCCTAGGTACAGCTTCTGTAAGTATTTCTAAATAATGCCGATTTTAACTACTTTGTCCCGCTCTAGCCACACAGAGCCAGAATTTTCAAGGCAGGGAGCCTTCCCCATGTCGCCTCGACCTCGGATCACTTCCCCAGCCGGTGCCCCCTCCTGTCTTTCCTCCAATTGCCATCAATTCTTTCCTCATCCTACAAAAGTCACTTCCTCTGTGAAGACTTGCAAAACTTTTCTTCCAAGGATATTTAGCCACTTTTGCCTCTGGCCTCATATGGTAAAATACTCTACCACAGGGTCATTACAGAACAAGTCCTTCGGTGTCTGACTCTCCCGTGAGACTTTGAGTGTCTCTCCTACTAGACTGGGAGCTCTGCAGGGGCAGGTCTTTGCTCACTTCTTCATATTGACAACATGTAGTTGATCTCTGGTAAACGTTTGATGTATGAAAGGATGGATGAATGAAAAGTTTAATCAAGCTGGAGGCAGGGTGCTCTGGGCTCATTTGGGAGGGAAATGAAGGACACTCATTGGTGTTCTGTAGTTGGGAGGAAAGTAGCATCTCAAACAGTAACAGATTTTACAAATCAAAGCATAGCCTTCTTCTTTCTCCTATGAGAAGCACACTGAGAATTAAATCATCACTAAATGAAGCACAATCATTATTAAATCTTCAAGGAGCCAAAGGCCTGTGGAGTCCAAGCATAACAGAAAGGCCTTAGGGAACACTATGTGCAGGTCTTAGGAAGACATACAAGAGGAAGCGAGGGCCAGTGCTCTGGGTCATTTGCATAAGGCTTTGGGCAACTACTTGGTCACTTGAGGACAACTGATTGTAGGTAGAAAGGTATGAGTGGACATTCTTCCATTAATGGTAAGAATTAAGGGATATATCATTCTGAACCAAGAGAAGTGCTTTCTCTCCAAGCTAGTTCTATTACATAAGGGGTATATTACTTTGCTAAGGCGGCCATTAACAAAGTATCAGCAGAAATTTATCGCTTCGTAGTTCTAAAGGCTAGGCATCTGAAATCAGTTCATTCTGAGGCTGTAAGGGAGAACCTGGTCCATGCCTCTCTGCTAGCTTCTCGAGTTTGCTGGCCATCTTTGTTGTTCATGGGCTTCTGCTGCCTTACCCTGATTTCCTCCTTCACCTTCACATGGCACTCTCCCTGTGTATGTGTCCAAATTTCCCCGTTTCATAAGGGAACCATCATATTGGATTAGGGACCCATCCTACTGTAGTATGACCTCTTCCTAACTTAACTAATTACAATTGCACTGACCTTATTTCCAAATAGGGTCACATTCTAAAGTACTGGGGAGTAGGGCTTCAACATACAAAATTTTGAAGGAACACAATTCAACCTATAACAAGAGATTAGATGGTGCTCATCCCAGGAAAGGCTGTTCTCCCAGCATCTTGGGATGGCATACAAGAAACCCACAGGGAAGAGAGCTGTGGTTCTGATGTCTCAGGAAGAGAAGGGCTAGGAGATCCCTAGCAAACACTATCAACTAACCACCCAATCCTTGTGACCTGGGAAAGGGACAGACTATAAAAGGAGGGGAGGAAAGGTCTTCAGAACCAGACCCCTTCCTAAGAACTCTTCTGGCAGGTCATGGGAGACCAACACCAAGAAGTTCTCAGGGATAAGCATACCACCGGACTTGAGGAAGCTCAGGATTGGGAAGGCATTGTGGAAGCTGGCACAATGAAGCCCCAAGGTGTTTGAGTGAGGTGACAAGGCACTGAGATTAAAGTCCTAATTCCTTACATCCAAATACTGGTTATGCATAAAACACAGAATGTTTAGAAAGAAGATAATTTGACAAAAAATGTCTCTCTGCCTTAATTTACGGAAGAAGAAACCAAGACTCAAGAGGGGAAATCTGTGCTATAATGTAGAAGAAAGAACACCAGACAAAGAAGCAGAACTCTGTGAAGTCCCTATTTTGACACTAACTAATCAACCTTAGGCAAACTAAGTCAACTCACTGAGCCTCACTGTCCTTATCTTAAACTATGATACATCCTTCAGAGAATGGCTCGGTTGATTAAAGGCGATAATGGATGTGAAAGTACCGCTCAACTCTAAGAGATGGTTCAATAAATCCCAAAGTACACTGATCAAATCCTATTCCTATTTGAATCAATACTATCCAGCACACAGTAGATGTTCAGCAATGTCTGTTGATAAATGAATTAATTCAATCCAGCCCTTAAAAGGGAAAAACCCCAGAACACAACATCCAGATCTTAACCTGAATTCTAACTTCCTGAGGCCTTGAAAATAAGACTTCCCACAGAGGTCCTTATCCAACAAGGCAACCCCAGAATCATAGGGACAATAGATTTCCTAAAGGCAGCATCTCAGTTATCCAAAAGAAACTCTCTTTCTAGGGTTGCTGCTTGTGTTCTGAGCAGGCTATTGGAAAGACCACATCCCCTGGCAATACACTGCAGGGTTCTCTGGACTCAGAGAAATCTCCCCTGGGTAAGGACTACACATCTGATACACTCCTCAAGGGGTGAGCAAGTGAACCCAGAAAGCAAATCCGTAACAGCCAGCATAAACCTCCAGCAGTTATGATTCTGGAGTCTGGTGGCCATAGGAGAGACCTTTGGGCACATTATTGTGGCTGAGTGTTATTACTGTATATTGCAAGTTCTGACCTGGGGCAGAACCTTCTCTGTCTGGTGACTCACTCTTTTTCTTAGTACCAACTACATTGTTTCTTGTAGACTGACCAAAATGCTCACATAAAATCTCTTACTTTAGTACTTAGCCAATGATTAGAGGCTAGGAAAAGGAAAGTTAATTTTGATGCAAACAACAGAAACTGACCAAGTTGTAAGACTTACTGAAAAATCCAAATTGTATATTGCAAGGGGACATTTTTCAGGGAAATTATCCTTTAAAATATAGATGGTGCTCACCACTGTGAATCTGTGGCTTCAGTCTTTAGGGTGATTAGACGACAATGCTTTACCCTAACGAGTGATGTTTAGGAGATCATTAGATCCTGGAGGGATGTACTTTACAGCATTTAAATAAACCTAAGTTACTGAACCCTAAAGAGCATAATTGATCATCATTTTATATTTGATCAAAATGGTTTGCAATTATTCCCGCTGGGAGATTTATCCATTTGCATCTTGCGGTCAGTTTTGGAATTTTATCCCTTTCATCTTGCCATAATATCATGATTAATTGATTGATTCAAGAGTTCAGGAGTCAATAAACCCAGTATTTGTTATTATTTATTATTTAACTGCCCCCAGTGTGCTGGCTGGAATTCAGACGCTAAAGAAAATACAGTCCGGCTCTCACAGCTTCTTAAAGAATTGATTATGCAGAAGAAAAAAAGAAGAAAAGAAAACCCCTTTTTTGTTCAATCGTGTGAATATTAATGGGAGAGAGTTAACAAAGAAAATGCATGCTATACTTATTTTGGCCATGATTTAAACATGTTCTGAATATCTGCATTGTTGCTTACTTTTAAATTAATTTTTTGAGACATATATATCCATATATATATATCCATATTTGTATCTGTACCTGAAAATAAAGCTCCCAGTTTAGTTATTCCTCACATTGTAGAAATGATTCTACTTGGGCATTATTCAAGAAAGACACGGACTTAGAAAAAATAAGCAATAAAACTGTCTTCAGTTCAGAAAAGTAAAAAACATGTAAGTTTAGAGATATTAATTGTTATCCTGATGACCTGTGTGCTTTTCTTAGATTAGGACTAAGCCTTCCTCACCTGAATAAACACTCCTTCACATGATGGATTTAGCAGTGGCAAAGAATGAATCACTGATCCCAAGAAACTCTAACTTCAGATGCCTAGATTTGCTGTCAAAGCCCTGGGCAAGCAAGAATATAACCAAATTGGCCAAATGGGAGGTAGCACAGTGATTAAATATGTTACCAAATTTGTGCTGTAATTCTCAAATCATGCTTTTTAAGATAATCATTCAAACATGCACCCTAAAAGAAGAAGGGATTTGCTTTGTACATAATGACATGCATGGGTATTATAGCCTCATCCAATGATTAGCACAATGTCAGGATGATTTGGTGACCATTTTACATTTTACAAGGGATTAAATAAAGATATACAGAGCTCAGTGAATTTTTCCCAAGGATGCTAAAATAAAGTTAGTATTAACACTAAGATATTGCAATCCTAATTCATAATTTCCAGAGAATTGTCTCTTCCTAGGCCACATTTCTACCCATAAACTGTCAAATTATATAGAGATCTCGTTACACAAATATGCTACTCTCACTTGAAGCTCCAGGAGAGAGGTTTGCAGCATCTAAAAATGGAATTCATCACCAAAAGCCCAATAAAAACTCAAAGGTGTAAGGATGCTACTGAGCTAAGATTGACGGTATGTCCTAAATGCACCAGCTGTGTAAAATATGAAACCATTGGCCATGCTGACGTCCCAAAGGAACTCGATGAGAAGCATATGCAATGCCACATGTCCTATATGACAGGCAAGACAACAATGGTTGACCAGATGTTCTTTTCCTTCTCATTTGCATGGTTAAGACATATGGTAACTGGGAAGAATTAAGTCATCTCTTAAGCAGTGATATGAATGGCTTGAAATAAAACTGTTTTAAATCATAGGCCACACACCTGCCATGGATTAATGTTGCTGAACCTCTGAAAATAAACATGTTAACTATAACCTAAACACCTTATGTCATATGGCGTTTTTTATGCCTTACTGCACATTTACAATCCTTTAAATAAAGCATAGCTCTTCGGAGGTTTTGAGATTGCATAGTTTTATCTGGAGAAAGGTTTGGTTTCCTTACACATGTTAAACTTGGGAGTATTTCAACACTTGCAATAGCAATATTTGGATGTCAGAAGATCTAATTTCAGCACCCAGAGATAATTTGGTATATAAAACATCTGGTGTGTTTATGAGAGAGTATCAGATTTAAATCAGTGGTTTCCATATTCCTTTTAGTTTAAATATGCCTTTTGGTTGCAA